AGGTATTTGTAGCAGTCCACAGTGTCTATCTTAGTACCCTTGATGTTGATAGAGTTGGAGGGCTGATCTTCTTCCTGTAGTCCACCTGCAGCTCTTTAGTTTTTCCAACATTGAGTTTGAGGTGGTTCTCTTCACATCATTCCACAAAGCTGTCCACCACACCTCTGTATTCTGCTTCCTGGTGACCAGTGATGCAGCCCAAAATGGAAGAGTCATCCAAGAACTTCTGCAGATGGCAGGATTGTGAGTTATACCTGAAGTCCGAGGTGTGGAGTGTGGACAGAAATGGCGAGAGAACCATCCCCCGAGGAGCCCCTATGCTGCTCAGTATGGTGTCCGAGGTGTTCTGCAGCCGCACATACTGTGGCCGACCTGTGAGGTAGTCTCTGATCCAGGTGACCAGCGAGTCCTTCACCTTAGTCACTCTTAGTCATTCACCTTTAGTGAGGCATTTCTGCCTTATTAGCCAGCAAGAGAATCCCCCTCCCCTTCTTTCACAACATGTTTCAGACCTCAGCAGAATCTACATGTCCTGCACCGGTGGCAAATGGTGAGGTATACAGATGGAGTGGATGCCCACTGCCTGGATGTCCACTCCCCGCAAGTGGGCAATAAGAAACCGAAAGATAGGTTAGATAGTTTATATGAAATTATGCTTTTTTTAGGGCACGGGTAGGACCGGGCACTCAGGTTATCCTTGACAAGATTCCCCCGTGGGCAGCTGCCTATATCGCCCATATCAGATATCGTCACTAGAGATGATGGCGTAACACAACTACATCCAAACGTATAAGCAGTGCCGAGATAAGCTAATGAAATTCAAGTCCAATTATAAGGTAATTAAGGACCACAACAGGCAGAGTGACTTGAACGCAAAAAGACCAGTTGCGATCTCGCCGACTTTGCATTGACAATCCTTCCCAGAGTGGGAAAAAGGTCAGCCTCCTCCTTAGTGACAAATCACCTACCCCTAAGAACAACCGAAAATAGGAGAGCTGAGTGAAGCCACACTTACCAATGGCAAAGCAACATTAGAGAAATTAAACTTCAAGGCCTTCTTCAAGGTCCAGTTACTTAAGCAGAGAAGGCACCTTCCATATAGAAGCAACATGTTGTGGATATGCCAAGTTTTTTTAATAGTCTCAGCCTTACATCCAAATGGAAACTATTTTATGAACCCCTATTTTATGAAAATAATATATAT